TATGCTTATCTGTGTATATATGTATGTGTATATATATGCAAATATATACATATGTATTGTTTTAAACAAAGGCAAAAAGACACACACGTTTGCTCTCATGGTCAGCTTGAAAAGCTTCCCAGGGATCTCAGAGAGCCCGTCTTGTATCCTGAAATCTTCTATCCTGAATAGAAGAACTTGCTTGGGAAATTTTACTTTAGCAGCTAAAGATTTGGGGAGCAGAGTTGCCTGAGAAATACCAAAGCCACTGTGGTGGTCTTTCTTACTAGACCTTGTGTCCTGTTAAGGAATGTTGGGATGTTGGACTGTGTATCCTGCTGTAGGCCCCACGCTCTTTACCAGCCCCAAGCTCTTCCTTGTGAGGGAAAAGAATAAGCTACGCTGAGGTTCTTTCCAAATCTCTGGGCACCAGAACACCTTCTTATTTATTTTATTACACTTGTGAGCGAGTATATTAAGCATTCCCAGTTTTCAAGAAAACAAGTTCAGAGGGACAAAAATAGCATGAATTCATTCTTGTTGCTGCATAACGTACAGCACTGCGTCCTGCCTGTCTCAGACAGGTAATGATTATTGAATGAATTAACAATTTATATAGTCGAATACTGAATTTCATGGACAATGTCACCTTCCTAATCCCCCTCCCCTCCTATCAATACTTCTGTCCGCCCTCCCTTATTTTCAATTACTTCCTCTCCACTTACTTACCAATAAAAGTATCCCTGGTACAGTGGCCTGGGTGTTGGAGAGAGGCCAAAGGGAGGATGCGTCTTCTTATTAGTAGTTTCATCATCACCAAACGCTAGGCCTGTGGTCGATAAACCGGGGAGGGAGTGTGTTAGCATTCCAGGGTGGGGGCACCGGGTGGGCAATGAGGTACCTCCACTGCCCCGCTTGCTGCTCCCTCGCCTCAGGGCTGCCCACACCAGTCTGAGGACTCCAGTGATCAGCTTGGGCTCCTTGCACTGCCTCCCTTTAACTGTTTTGCCTTTAACTGGTTGAAATCATCTCTAGACCAGATGGCAGAAGCTCTGCCTCCCTCCAGTGGGTGTGCTTGTGATAGGCATAGTGACAAAGTAACAAAGCTAAGGTTAGATCCCTACTTCCGTCTGCCTGTGTTTTTTCTTAATCACATTAACAAAAAGGCTAATCCTGTGGTACACTAGCATTAGAAAGCACCATGTTGTAAGCAGAGAGCTTTACCTTTCTGACGGGAAGGAAGAAGGGAATTCATTTTTATTGCCAATTATGTGCCACATACTGCGTGTCCAACATCATGTCATCTAACAGTAACCTTCTAGGACTGGTGTCAGCACCTCCATTTCACCGCCGAGATCACAGAAGCTTCCACGTGGAGGCTGGGCCAGAGCTGTCTGGATCTAACACCTGTGCTCTTGCACTCACCTTGGTTTGAGAGTTGGCACTAACCACTGATGATAATAGCCAAGGAGATAATATTTGCAAAGCACCTAGCTTGGTGCCTGGCACATACTTAGAAAATGTTCCTCCCAACGGCCTCACCCACCCTCCTCCTCCTCCCACCGTCCTGTTGGAAACATAGCCTCCACCAATAATGTCTTCTCAATCAATGTTCTTAACAGGACCCAGGACAGTGATCCACCCTAAAGCACGAATTATCGCGGAAGCTGGGCCAATAGTGATCGGTGAAGGTAACCTCATAGAAGAACAGGCCCTTATCATAAATGCGTGAGTAAGACTCCTACAGATACTCTGAACTGAGCACCACAAGTAACGTTTGTCATTAATTTCAACTGTCCATAAGAACCTTTCATAACTGACATCTGGAAGGCCCACTATTTTAGAGCTAGAGAAAATTAAGGGTCTTTTTCAACAAAAGTAAATGAGGAAACCAAAAACCAGATGGGGGAGAAGACTTGTCCAAGGAGAGAGAGCGTGGTGGCGGCTGACTAGAATTCTCTGACTCTGATTCTGGTATCTCCCCCGTACATATCAACTTCTCACCCATCCCTTAAGCAGACATTTCCTGAGCACCTCCAACCTCCAAGTGCTGTGCTGACCACCCTGAAGGGAGTTTTTTGGTTGGATTTCTTGGTTCTGGTTGAAATGTTACCACTATTACCAAACACCTGAACTTAATTCTGATACGTGTTTTCACATGTGTTGCACAGATAGCACCCAGAATTATAGTTGAAAAATGTGGGGTCCTAGAGGCAGTTTTTAAACTTTAAAGATTAAAAAAAAATAAAATATTAGAACATGTACATGATCTTAGTGAACTAGACTATAATACCTACAATATTTCCATAAGCATTTATAAGTCTTTCTAGATAAAATTTTGGCAAGAATTGCAAGCTTATACCTAATTTATAGCAACAATGTATGGAATTTGTAAGAAAGACCTTGGGAAAATATTTAACTGTCATAAAAAGACTGATTCGTCGTAATGCATGCCTAGGATTTAAAATATATTTGGCACCTTCTGTGTAAGTCAATTAACAACAGCTATTCTGCAGTAACTCAACTGTCAGAGATAAAACACCATTTTAAAATGGCTTCCTCCTCCTAGAACACAAACATTTTCTCTTCCAAATATTTCAGCTAACTAATAACGTAAAATAATTACTTTATGTGAATATCTGTTTAT